CCACATAAACCAAGTAAGAAACTGAAAACTTATGTGGAAAAAGTCTCTGAGTTAATTATAAAAGGCAAGCTGAGACTTCGTCAACTAGCAGGCATAGACCCAGCAGAAATTATAGTGCCTTTCACTGCTGATGAACTAAAGAAATTATGGGAAGATAATGAACCATGGCAAAGAGCTTGTGCTAATTTTTTGGGAGACATTAATAACAACTATCCAAAAAGCAAGAGGCTTAACTTCATAAAGAGAACTTCTTGGATTCTTCCTCGAATCGTCCGTGATGCTCCAATAACTGGAGCCCGTACATTCTATACTGATGCCAATAAATCAGGGAAGGCAGGTTACAAATCAGAAGACTTGGATAAGGTGGAACAAAGTCTGTATAATTCTGTCCAGAAGGCGGAATTATATGCCATTCTTATGGTGCTAAGGGATTTTAAAGAACCTATTAATATAGTTATAGATTCACAATACGCAGAAAGAGTTATTTTACATATTGAAACTGCTGAATTTATACCTGATGATACTGAACTAACCTCATTGTTCCTCCAGGTTCAAGATTTGATCAGGAACAGGCTTTGCCCTATGTACATAACACACATCCGATCCCATACGGGTCTGCCAGGTCCTCTAGCACAAGGTAATGCAGAAATTGATCAATTATTGATTGGTAGTGTGCTACAAGCCTCTGAATTTCATAAAAAACATCATGTTAATAGCAAAGGTTTGAAGAAAGAGTTTTCAATTACATGGCAACAAGCTAAGGAGATTGTAAAGAAATGCCCTACTTGCTCTTTCTATAACCAAACGCCACTGCCTGCAGGGGCTAATCCAAAGGGCACCCAAAGGAATGAAATCTGGCAGATGGATGTGTTCCACTTTGCAGAATTTGGCAAATTAAAATATGTTCATCACACCATTGACACTTATTCAGGCTTTCAGTGGGCAACTGCTTTAAGTTCAGAAAAAGCTGATTCAATAATCATTCATTTATTAGAAGTCATGGCTATCATGGGTATACCTACACAAATAAAAACGGACAATGGTCCTGCTTATGTTTCTAGGAAAATGAAACGGTTTTTTGATTATTACAATATCAAGCATGTTACAGGTATACCATACAATCCTACAGGTCAAGCAGTCATAGAAAGATCAAATCGAACTATAAAAGATATGTTGAACAAACAGAAAGGGGTGGAAAACACCCCCAGAAATAGGCTACATAATGCTTTGTTAACCTTGAATTTTCTCCATGCTAATGAGAAGGGAACAACGGCTGCAGAAAGACATTGGATAATGGAAAAGTCTACTGAACTAAATCAACCAGTTTATTTCAAGGATGTGCTGACCTCACAATGGAAGCCAGGATATGTGCTACGTTGGGGAAGGGGTTTTGCTCTTATCTCCACAGGTGAGGAAAAATTGTGGATACCATCAAAATTAATAAAGGTTCGGTTTGAAGAAGAGAAGCCACTTGGAAAAGATAAATAACAATTCTTTCATAAGGATGGCGAACATACTGATGGTAAGAAATACAGATAGGTTGGAGGCAGGGTTCTTTCCTTATCTCCACAGGAAAATACTCATCTTCAAAGAAATTGAGGGACCCTGAATATTTAATTACTGATGGATGGACACATTTTGGAAGTATTAATTTATATATATATATGTCTTATTAAACATTTCTTTATAAATATATAGAGCTGGTTTTGAAGTTGGACTCTGGCTCAGTCCCTTTCCAATTCCAAGCCTGTTAGTAAGAGTAAAACCCAGAGTTTCTGGAGTTTCTGTCTCATGTCAAGAGCCATGATATGGGACAGAAAGAAATATGAGTTTAGAAAACATCTTTGCTTTTCTTCATATCTATCATACTTTTCATTGAAAATATCTATCATGCCTTTCATTGAATATATATATGTATGTCTATATATGTCTATATGATTAATGTTTAAGTTTTTTACAATGAACAATGAGTTTTTCCTGAAGTGACATTTGAAGTTTCCAGGAAGAAGATGGGGCCTCACAACAACAACTCTACCTGGTTGATATGACGTCATGATACTGATAGCGCTACTACAAGACCTGTTTTGGATACCAGCTGCACAAGACGATCCCAACTTGGTTAGCTGAAATGGTGCACATCTTGTACAACATTCTGGCCAGACCTCCACAAAATACTCAGAGACTATTTGCAATTTTAAAAGACATTGATCTTGAAATTTAACCATCATTTTACTTTCACAGGATCCCCCAGAAAGAACGTCGCCCCCATGACAGCTGGAAGTAATTCTAGAGGACGACGTCCCCTCTCCCAGTAAAGTTTACCCCTGGGTTTAGGGACATCATTTCGGGGTTGGGAGGTTGGGGGAGGAATTTTATAAGCTCAGGGATCATTTCGGAAAAAAAAAAGAGGGAATGATGGGATAATAGATTTATAATTGTGAGTTACTGCTTTTAGACAAATATATTGGTATCAATTCTTGTATATTGAAACAAAGTTAAATTATATTGACTATTGTATGCATGCATGTTTCTATGTCTGTTTAAAACATTTTTATGTATTGACATATATTGTATTGATATATATATTGTATATATTTACCATATTGCAATGTACATTTCTACCTCTGATTAAGATACTTATATAATGTTTGTGTATTGATATATATTTGCCATATTGCAATGTATATTTGTACAGTGTTTATATTTGGAGGTCATTATCCTCATTTGTTACACAGTTGTTTATTGTCTTAGTCTTTAAGTTAGATAGATATTGAGAATTATATAGATAAATAGTCATCTAAGTTTGTCATTTATAATCAGACTAATCAGGTTCTTTAGATATATAGAGATTATACTCAGTATAGATAGATAATCTTCAACCTCTTCAAAGAGCTGTAGAAAATGGCCTTTAATCTAACTCAGAGTTTCGTGATAGTGAGACACAATTGCTCCTGGCAACACCACTCTATTCCCGAGAGAATGTTGAGCACCAAAGACACTCCACCTGGAGCCTTTCTATTTGGCAGAACTGGTCTTTGGGCAAAGAAATGCCCATACCTCAACCACCGACACAGATACAGAGCGTGCATCAATGGATAAAACAGGACTGTCATATCCTGCCAAGACAGGGAAAGATAGTTTTGAAAAGTTCCTTGCCTTTAATAATGGTATGTCAGTTATGTTAGGCCTTAGCCAAAATTGGTTGACTCAACATTGCAAACGAGACTTTGGGTGATTGCCCAGGTAGTCAGTTGTCTCTGTCAATTGTTGCACATTTTGGATATATCTCATTTGTTGAGTAGTGTTTATTCCCTTCTCAGATCTTTGACTGAGTTGAAGATTATATAATTGTAGTTACTCTTTACATTATTTGGACTCCTTGAGATAGAATGTTTAGCAAAGCTTTTGTTCTCAATATTGTTTGTTATATTTATTATTTGTTGTTATTGTATGTAGTTGTATTTGGTTTAGTTCTGTCTTATTTAGACAAAAAGGGGAGATGTAGGGATAAGTCCCGCCCCTTAGGGGGCGTGTTCGCCTCGGGCTAATGTCTGCCTATAAATTTGGTGATCATGCTCTGAGCTGTCTCTTCTGCTTTCCTAGTCTCCACGGGAACGGTGGTTCTGTAAGTCTATTTCTACATTAAAACAATATATATATTTTTACAATCTGTCTGCATTCGTTTATGCCGCTACAATAATTATTAACTTTAACAGTTTTTAAAGAGGGTTCTCAGATTGGTGTGGGACAATTGTCTATATTCTGTCAATTCTATTTTAAATAAACGCTGACTGGCCAGTGGCCTGGCAGGAAGTACAGGCGGATCATTGAGAACAGGAAAATTTTGGGAAGGAGGAAGCCCATTCCTTCTCAGTCCTGCTCAGACAGGGAAGAATGAAGATGTGACCTGCCACAATGAAAAGCCATGTAGCTAACAAATACTAGAATGATGGGCTAATATAAGAGTTAATAAGAAGCCTGAGCTAATGGGCCAATCAGTTTATAACTAATGTAGACCTCTGTGTGATTATTTTGGGGGGGTTAAATGGCTGTGGAAACTGGGCAGGACAGAGACCCTATTACAAGCAGGCCCTCATGTTACAAATAATACTATCTTTCTTTCCTTTTTTTTGTAAGAAAGGATCTCAAGTAGTCCAGGTTGGCCTCCAACTCACTTTGTAGGCAAGAATATCCTTTAATTCCTGTATTTCTGCCCCCAGCTCTCCAATGGGGGATTATAAGCATGCACCACTACACCTTGGATGGTGGATACTTAAGGGTTATTAAGCACTGCCATCATTAAGTGCTGTATGCACCTCCCATGCAAACATATAATCTAAAATCTCAGATACTCAGATGTTAAACTTTGCTACCATAAAGCAAAATTTAGCTAAAATAGATTAGTACGTATACTCTTTAAATATTAAACAGAAAGAGGAAGGTAATTTGGTTTGCTTTTTTAGGTATAAATTCTTTACCACAAGTTTCTTTACAAAGAAAAGTAACTAAATGAAAAATGTGTGCGTCACCAAGTGGTGCACACTTCATCCTGAATCTTCCAGCAGAGCCTGCGAGGACAGTGCAGATGTTTAATTATTAAAGGGAACATGGTGTTAGCAATCACTGGAAACAGCAAGGAAGCTTGGCTTATTCCAGAGTAAAGCTACTAACAGCTAAGGATGACAGAGTTAATAGCCAACCCTGGAAAAAATCTTCTCTGACCATTTTCTATACAGAACTTGTTGAATGTAGACATGTTTAAGCTTTTTTCTCAATTTTTTTTCATTTAGAAGCCCTGGCAAATATGCAACAGCAAAAGAACATAACTACAAATTACATACATTTTAAAATATTGCCGGTCTAAGAACAAATATTTTTCCACCGATAAAATCCAGGTCACATATAAAGCTCATTATGGTTAGTAACAAAAGGAGTTGAGAGGCTTCAGCACTATGGAAACAGCTGACAATTAACTGTCATGTTTTATCAAGAAACATTACCTGTTGCAGTAGTCAACCACAGTCTCCTTGGTTGTAAATAAAACTTCTTCTCCTTTCTTGGCCTTTGTCCACTTTGAATCCAAGAGGCAATCCATTGCTTTCGAAGCTACAGAAGAAATTTTTTATTTAAAATTCAGTATACATAAATATGTCTAATGAAATCATTTTATAAACACAACATTGTGACAACAAAAATAAAACAGAATAGAATATTAAGTCTAATGACTACCATTAGTGTTTTTTATAAGACCAATCCATGAAATAGATTAATAAGCATGTTGACAAATAAATAAGATTACTCAAAGCAAGATAAATTAATGGGAAAATGTTGGTAACAAAAAATCCTCTCAAAAATATTCATATATAACCATCAATCATTGAATGACCACAATAAAAAATAACCTCAAATACTTTGTTCTTCCTTCAACAGTAATGAAAATTCTCAACTTAAAATAAATCACTGAAGAATCCCTCTGAACAATCTACTACTGTCACCAGCAAATAAAGACATTAGATTTAGAGATTACTGTGTTTATTTTTTGCTAAAATTTTAATGACTATCAAAATCATTAATAACATAAAAAGAAGGAATTCCTTCTGTTTAAAGAAATTCAAGATGGGTGCTGGTGACGCACCCTTCTAATCCCAGCACTCGGGAGGCAGAGGCAGGTGGATCTCTGTGAGTCTGAGGCCAGTCTGGGCTCCAAGAGCTAGTTACAGGCTAGACTCCAATGCTATAGAGAAACCCGGTCTCAAAAAACCAAAAAAAAAGGGGGGGGGGGGATTCAAGCGTAACCAAGAAGAAAGAAATATTTATTTCTTTATAAGGTATTTGGTGTAGGAGTTCCTTCTGTTTGCGTGTTGGTTTCATTGGGTAATGAATAAAGAAACTGCCTAGACCTCATTGATAGGGCAGATGTTAGGTAGGTAGAGAAAACAGAACTGAATTCTGGGAAGAAGAAGGGCAGAGTGAGAGAAGCCATGGAGCCCGTGCCTAAGACGGACACCTGTTAGAATCTCCTGTAAGCCACTGCCACGTGCCAATACACAGATGAAGGGAAATGGGTTAAACTAATATGTAAGAGTTAGCCAATAAGAAGTTAGAACTAATGGCCAAGCAGTTTTTTAATTAATACAGTTTCTGTGTGGTTATTTCAGGTGTAAGCTAGGGGGGTGGCCGTGGAAAACACAAGCAGCCCTCACCCTCCTTCTAACAGGTATTGGGCTATATTATAGATGATATCAGCTTATGAGGTTGAATGGATATATATGAACAAGGTACTAGCTAGTTCCATGTAATCATACTATCTGAACAAAAGGTAGTATTTCATACAAACATTGAAAATAAATCTTATTTTTAAAATTTCCAACAAAACTAATTATTAAGCACTTTATCTTTTTTTCTTTTCAATCCTAAAGAAAAACGAAGATTATCAACTGCCACATGCCCATTGCCCAGCTTTAATAATCACACATGTAAGCTCTTTCATAACTTTATATATCCTAATTCAGGGAACTTCATAGCATTCATATAGTAGTGAGACTTTAGAGATGGAATCCTACCGATAAAATAATCAACTCGATGACCCATCATATTGGTGGACTTTGTTGGACAGTTGAATCGAAGATACTTGGCTATGGCCTTCTCTTCTTTTGATGGCTCACCAACTTCCTGCAACAGAGGAATAATAATTTAGCGCGCTTATGTACTTGAGAAATTCAAGCTCTACAGAGTAATTTGCAAATCTGTGGAGCAGATCTGCTAACATTCAAAAGAAAAACTGAACACTCTTCACAACATTTTCTAAATACAAACCGTCCTATATGTTTGCCTCAATTACAGATCATTAGGCTGTTTTTCCAGTATATAATAACTATTTTATATAGTTTTCTTCAATTTTGTATGGCTTCTTCTAATACTCACAAAGCAATAATGTAAAAGATGCTGCCAATCATTACAGCCTACATGGCACAGTAAGTAGAAACAGGTGCCATAAATAAATGTTAAAACACAGTCAAAGATATGTCTTGATCAATGGGTGAGTTTGTAAAAACCCTCAAGGCAGTGACCAGAAGAACTGAAGTGTTGATGATTGGCTGAGTCCCTTCCTTTCCCCAGGACACAGATGATGTCTGGACTTTCTCTTCACAGTAAGACAGGCAAAAAGAGAAATGTAGGAAGGGATATTGCTATTAACGGTAGTTCAGTAACAGTTTGGAGAAACTGCTGTATCCTTTCCTATGTCTATTCCTCTGTATCTATTCCCAAATATTTATACAAACTCAGCTACCACCATATAATTAATCATGGCAATAAAAATTAAAAGTTCAACCAATTCTATTTTATATCAAAAACAATATCTACTAAATGTTTTTCCTCATTCATTGCACCTGCTGTTAACTTAAAAGTTTATCCATTTAACTGGTAACTTGTTACCAGGATGAACTTGATTTGAAATCAAAGGAAGGAAGCCCGATTAAATAACTAGGTCTCAATAAATGCAAGCATTCATTCAATCAAATACATACTTCCCGAGTGTTTATCCTATAATCTTTGGATACACTATATATTAGGACAGCAGGATATCTGTGCTTTGTTACATAAATGCCCCGAACAGCACTTGCTGTTTTCCCAAAGGAATGATAATAAAAATGTTTTGGAAATATGCAAAGTAGAAGTGAAATCATCAGTGCACAGGGTCTTACAGAGAGCTTGAATTTGAAAGACAAGCCCTGAGCACACTGAATGAACAGCATAAACAATGAAGCTGAAAATGAGCAAAGACTTGACTTTAATGAGACCAGTTATAAATGTACCAGGAAGCTAAATTTGTACAGAGAGAATAGAGAGTCCTTAAGGCAAGCTGAGAAATTTTAACTTTATTTCACATGGAGCAGAAGGTCACTATGTTTTTCAACAGAACTCAAATAGGAAAGTAACAAATATGATTTTTCATGATTGCAGGCAAAAGGAATAGGGGAAAATATGAAAAGTAGTTAGGAGACTGTGGTAACAGTCAAATAAATGTGACGTGATACTAGTCTAAGAATCAGAAGGAGATATACCTATTTGAAATATTTCAAAGGTAGAGTACATAGGATTAATGGTAAAGGGTAAATGAAATGAGTAGATACTAAATATCAGATTCCTATGTTAATCAGTAAAACAGAAACACAAAGTTGGGTGGGTAGGGCGGTAGAAAGGGATCTGGGAGGACTGGGGTGAATATGCTCAAAGTATTTTTTTTAAGTTTTCAAAAACAGGAAATGTGTAAAAAGGTGATTCTAGAGAACCATCATGAATTTGGGCATCATATATGAACCTTCAATTAAACCATTAGCACAGATAAATGTGTTATTTTCCTGACTGGTTAAATATCAAACATAAAAACCCAGGAAAGTTGATTATGTAATAGCAAGTCAGACACTGTTAAGTATCTGAAAAATTCTTCAAATTTCACTTTCACAATGAAGTGAATCGACTTCCCCCCAGCTCTATACTTTCCTTGGTAAAGGCACTACTAAACAACAATGGACAGAAAGAATCAGAAAAAGTAACAACTGAAGAACTTTTTCAAGTGGACACAGAATTCAATTGTCTACTAGCACTCTCCTCAACTATCAGTAACTCATAATAGCTACTGCAGACAGCTCTTCATGAAAATGTATCATTTGGAGCACCTGCTGGGGTTTCAGTATCAGAAAGACTGCCTTAGGGGGAAAGGAGTGGGGGGAGGGGGAGAATGGTGGGAGGAGGGGGCGTAGGGTGGGAGGAGGGGGAGGGAAATGGGAGGCTGGGAAGAGGTGGAAACTTGTTTTTTTTTTCTCCTTTTCTCAATAAAAAAAGAAAAAAAAAGACGGTAGCATCAGCAAATGCAAACAGGTTAATAGAAGATATTCTGAAAACTAGAGGGGATCTTAAATTATTTGCTTAAAGTCATAGAGCTCTGTAAGCTAACAAGAGCAGTACCCTCTTCAATTTGCTTCTTTTATAGTTCCTGTGGCAACAGGTTTGCTATATACTGCAAAATTCTTTATTAACCCTGTAAGTTGCAGTGGGGAGAGGATGAAGTTTCAGACTGAGGATTGGATTTAGAGGTTCTTTCTTTTCCTTCAGAAGGTCCTAAGAAGTCAGACCTGGAGTCTGGCTGAACAGTTCCAAACATTTTTCTTCTCTTTCCTGAAACGAGGCATATAAATCCATGGCAAGTCAGGATTTTACTGCCAGGGAAACAGATGGGCAGAACAAAAATGATTTACGGAGGTTATACAAGTTCTAAGATACAAAAGTCATCTGAAGATTTCAGAGTTGAGCTAGTTTCTATAGACAAGCGGGATACTAGATAGAATGATTCTCTGAGCAGGAATAAGTGACACTAAATCTTTGCTAAAGTATTTTATATTTAGAATTGGGGGGAATGGAGAGATAGCCCCGTGGTTAAGACACACACTAGCATTCTTCCCAGCACCTGTCCTGGGTGGCCAACACTGCCTGTAACTCCAGTTCCAGATCTGATGCCCTTTTCTGTCCTCAGGTGCACAAAGGTGCACAGATCTCCACAAAGATACACAGGTATATACAAAATTAAGCATATATATGTAAAATAGTTTGGGATTAAAGTATTTCAAAACTTATTTTTTAATCACTGATAAGATGTGAATTAGATGATCACTCTAAATCTAATTTTACTAACTTAAAAGGCAATCCTAGTCCAAGTCAAACAACCTCAGTGGACATCAGTTCGTCAGTAAAACGAGGGTGAGATCAGTAAGCTCCAAGCCTACTACGGACTGAATGTATTCTTCTCTCTCTCTCTCTCTCTCTCTCTCTCTCTCTCTCTCTCTCTCTCTGTGTGTGTGTGTGTGTGTGTGTGTGTGTGTGTGTGAGAGAGAGAGAGAGAGAGAGAGAGAGAGAGAGAGAGAGAGAGAGAGAGAGCATGTGCAAGTAGAAGTCAGGACAGTTCTAGAGATCAGTTTTCTCTTGCCACCTTGTGGGATCAAACTCACGCCATCAGGCACCTGCCTCTGCCCCGAGCCATCTCATCTCCTGAGACTAAACAGAAGACAGAGAATTCCGAATAAGTTCTATCAGATCCTTTTCCATGTTTAAACCTCATGACACTCGAATTCTAAATCAATGCTTCTAGTGCCTTGTTCATCTATAAAGTCACTGTATTTCCTAAAAATAATTATTTTTGTTGTGTTTTAAATATTTCATTAGTTTGGCTTGACATCACTTTCATTAGAGAATCTCAGTTGTTCAAATTCTGCAACACAACGTCAATTAACACATAAGCTCACTTCACAGTTTAAGTGACCTGATGTGAGTCCGAGAAAGAAATGTGAATACAGTTCCCGTGCTTCCAACTATGCTGGGGAACCAGATTCCAAAGTTGTTCTGTCTTGAAAAAAGAAAATGAATTGGCTACAAAAATAAAACAAAACTCTCAACCTAAGTATTTGTATCAAACATCCTCCCCCTCCCAACAAAGTCGCTGTAATTCAAAATCAATAGAATCTATTTAAAAATCATTTCTAAACAAAACCATCAAGTAACAACAGGAAACTCTACAGTTAGTGTGGAAATGCTTTTTCCTGTAACAAACTCTGAATTTAGTCATTACACTCGATCTTTTAATCTCAAGTAATGTCAATATGAGAGCTTTTGATTCTTGACGAGAATAAAAGAACTGAGGAATGCCCTCCTTGGACAGCTGGAAGAGGCTGAAGCAATGTCTCAGTGGTTAAGCACGTACTGCTTTTCCAGAAGACGTCAGCTTGGATGCTAGCACCCACTGTCAGGAGGCCTGTAACTCTAGCTCCATAGGAGCTGACACCCCTTTCTCGCCTCCACTGGCACCTGGACCCTTGTGCACATAACCACACATAAGCAAAAGATAAGCATTAAAAATTATTGGGCTGTTAACAGTGGTACTGTCAGATCTCCCACAAACATTCTATACTGCCATACAGAAATTAATGTAGAGAATAAGAAAAAATTTAATTTCATAGTACCTAACTGACTTTTAATAACTTAGAGTCTCAATCTAAATAGCCATATCTCATATGATTTACAGCCTAATGGTTAATTTACCAAATAGGTGGCTGTTAATTATTTTTAAGTTTATTAAGAAGTGATAAACAAAGATCAATATAACCTAACCCAATTTCTTTATTCTGGTGAAGGAGGGCAAGAAAAAAAGTTATGTACCAAGCAGTTTTAAAAACTTTTAATAAGTCATTCATTTACTTAATGTTTTCATATCAACTCTACAACTCTAAAAAGAGTTTTCTTAAGATAAACAATCCCTGCAAAAGCAGAAGTTGAAGTTTTTCAGACAGCGTTTCTTTAGCTTTGAAGCCTGTCCTGTAACTAGCTCTTGTAGACCAAGCTGTCCTCGAACTCACAGAGATCCGCCTGTCTCTGCCTCCCAAGTGCTGGGATTAAAGGCTTGTGTCACCACCACCTGGCTTTTAGTTACTGTTTTAACAGACTTAACCTTGTTAAACCAAAGGAATGTAATTTGCCTGGAGATGGCCTTCTTCCTCAAGGACACTCCAAATAAAGACAAGACAGGACAGTAACTTGCCTCTTGATCTTGGTGGTACAAGCATGCGATTATAGTGATCTAGAGCTATTTTTTATTTTACCAACAGAGAATTAAAAGATAAGACCCCTCCATACATCCTTGTGCTCAATAAACACAATTTCCTTTTCCTCCTCTCTCCTTTCTCTAAGAGTCCAATCTTCTGCCCAGAGCAAGAACTGGGCAAGAAAGATGACAGACATCAGTTTTAACATTCTTAAAATATTAAATCAGTTTAACACATTTAAAAAAGGTGAGACTGGGAGCTGGAGAGATGGCTCACTGGTTATGAGCATTGCCTGCTCTTCCTAAAGGTCCTGAGTTCAATTCCCGGCAACCACATGGTGGCTCACAACCATCTGTAATGAGGTCTGGTGCCCTCCTCTGGCCTGCAGACATACACACAGACAGAATATTGTATACATAATAAATAAATATTTTTTAAAAATGGTGAGACTGAGGGCTGGAGAGACGGCTCAGCAGTTAAGAGGACTGGCTGCTCTTACAGAGGACCGCCTGTCTCTGCCTCCCAGCACCTACATGGCAGTTCACAACTGTCTGTAACTCCAGTTCCTGGGGATCTGACACCCTCACACAGACAGACACAGGCCAAACCCCAATGCATATAAAATAAATAAATTATAGAAAACATTTTTCAAACAGTGAAATTGATTTAACATGTTTAAAGTAATTTTTAAAAAAAGTGAAATATTGCCCGTGAGTTGAGTTCCCAGGTGAATGACTCACTGTGGCTTTTCAGATCCCCAAGATAACAGACCTGCCTCAGTGCTAAGTATCAGTAGAGAAAACCTCCAAAGCCCTCTGTCTCCACTTCTGCCCCACCGAGACATCACAGGTCCCACCTCTGAAGCCAGTCTCGCTGCCTTTGCTAACAGGTAGAGGGGGTGTGTGGCTCCCCAGACCTGAGAGAAGCAGACTGCACAAGGCTGGGTCACTGGTGCGAACAGTCAAGAGGACGTGGCCAGTGTGGCTTGCTCTCTGCTGGTTCTGGCCATGGTGAAGGAAGGAAAGCCTGGGTTCTGTCGAGGGATATTAAAGTCCGCCCCATGCGGCAGTATTCACACGTGCAAATTCTCACTTTCAGTATCCTAAATGGTCACATCTGCTGCATGACAGGTAAGTGATGTGTCCACGGGCTGGGTAATCAACACAGTCCCCAG